ACTCTGAACTCTGCCCCTGTTGGGGAGCTTGGTAGCCTGGTGACTGGGTAGTAACTCTGTTTAATTTGGGGATACAGTATTAGGAAGCTATGCTTATTGAACACCTAAGCAACATCTCCAAAGTCCATTAAGAATAAAATTGGTATTTTGTTTTCCTCCTAAGTCCTGCTTCTCTCAAACATTTCAGAAGTTGGGAGGGGAAAAGCTGATAGCTTTCTGACACCCCAGTATACATCTGACCCACGTATCTGCCGATGTGCCAGCCTCTATCTGCACAACAGCAGGATCTCAGTCTACCGCTCTCACTGTATCGTCCAGTCATTTCCACATATTTCCGAGACGTGCTCAGAATGTCCACACTCTAGATGTAGTTCTCATTGGTGACCGGTTTTCATATTCTTAAGTCCTGGCTCCGAAGTACCCAGAATCACTGGCTGCCAAGGCCCAGGACTGCCGCTTGGCCTCATGGGGGCGCTAGAGTACTCCAGGCAAACTATCCCCAGGGCTCCTCAAGCCACTGCTGAGCTGCAGAAGTGTTACACGGCCTGGGCAATAGCGGGAAGGATGGCCTCTTCCCCACTTCGGTGCCTCGACTTCTATACAAAAATCAAAGCCCCAGAGAACTTCTTCTTGAGCCCAATATTTTACAGAATCTTTCATGCAAAAGAGTTTAACCATTTTTGGATCCTTCCCCACTCACCTCAGGGGCTTACGCATAGAATGCGAGTTCTCTGAGAGCAGACCGCTGCGTCCCCACCGGGCTCCTCCTTTCTCAGGGGTGGGCTCCAGCCCAAAGCCCTTCTCCTATTGCACTTACCAAACAGAAGCTCCTGCGCGTATAACTTGCTGCAAATGGACACGTGGGGTTGGTGTCGGGTGAGGGTTGATGGATGTTGTCCTGGTGATGTAACATGATTTTTATTTTAGCTTGTGTTTGTTGAACCATAGATTATGTATTTTTTGTTGTTATTTCTTCTCAGTGTTTCTCTAAACACTATTGGATGTATAATGCTATTACAGAACACAGGTTGTTATATCTCTGTGTCTACAACCTGTTATACATTGTTATTCATGGATATAAAGAGGCATAATATGTAATTTGGTTTTCTGTGTTAATAGTTTCTTAGTCAAGTGTCTTTTCATGAACATTATCTTTCAAAAATGATAATGTTGCCCTTTTATTTATATTTTTTAATAAAAAGTAAAAACAAAAAAACAGACCCACATCAGAACAGTGACTCAGTCCCACACAGAGGGCCCATGAACCACCACTGGCCCGCGTGATGTCCTGGCCCTTTGAACACCAACCAACCGAGTTACCCGCATTGTGGAAATTAGCATGAGTCCCCAGACCTCTTGTTTCTATACATTCTATGGTGTCTTTTAAAAAGTGAGTGTGCTTAACATTGACACAATAAATGTTGGAGCTTTAAAAAAAAATGATAATGTTGATTTCATCAGGAGGTGGCTGGTGAGTGGGTTGCAAAACCCATTCCTGCCTCCTAGTTTCATGCAGGTGTTTGGGAGCAGCCCAAGCCTCGGGTTTTTGATCCCCAAAGAATCAGAGACTAAACATTGCCCCTTCTTTTTTCTCCACTGGCTGACTTCCTTTGATTCATGAAATTGGTCTCTTGTGAGTCTGAGAGCTTGTTTTGAGATGGGTGTGTACGTACGTGGGAGTAAGGGTGAGAGACGCAAGCAGGGCAGTGAAGAGATAGCGTGGCCTGAATGTCTGCAGCAGTTTCCTCTGCTTGTGTTTCCCATTGCCATGGAAAATGGCTAAAATGGTCATTGCAAACTAACCCTACCCCAAACCTTTGCTACATACAAAGAAAGTAATTTTTGAGTAAAATGTAACACACAAGAGAGAACATCAATCCTAAAGAATGCTCCCATTTTCTAGTAGCTTTTAAAGTGGCAACTAAAAGTATTCTTTTCCAATTGCTTACATGTTTTGCATTGAAAATATCCTGGAAAACAAAATCACTGGAATATAAAAATGTAGAAATGTGTTCTTTACCATTGCAATAGTACAACTTCATGAGTGTAACATGTATTTAGCCTTCTCCCCTAACTCTTTGTTTTGTTTGTTTGTTTTGCCTGGAATTTAAATAGGGGCAGTGAAGAGCCCAGGGAAACAGGAACCAGAATGTCTCCAGTAATGGAAACGGGGGAAGGGGCAATCACTGGTTGATGAATAGGGTTTTGAGGTGCTTCTCGAGTAAGGTATCAATTACCAAGTTAGGAATATACCAACACATCCTTGGTTTTATTACAGCTGGTGTTTGAGCTAGTAAATATTAATTAAGTCCTTATGATGAGTAAGTCATTCCACTGAGCCCTGTGGCGGATGCAGAGATGTTCAAATGCAGTCAGTGTCTAGAAAAAGATCACTGTCCAGAACAAAGAGTCATATGTGAACCAGGGAATAAAAATATGCATCTAAGTTTTTCTTCTATTATATTGATATATTATGATATGTAATAGAGATTATGATTTTATTATAGATGTGTAAGTTATTTCAAAGTATTGCATTAGTAACTGATGAATACATAGTGAAAATAGCAAGTGGAGGAGATGTGAGAGAGGAAGCCACCACTGCCTTCTGGGATGAGTTAGACATTCTGGTAAAGGCCAACATTATTCAGTACTTACCATGTGCCAGGCAGTATTCTAAGGATTTTATGTGGGTTAACTCATTTTATCCACATGAGAACTGTAAGAGGAAGAAGCAATTACTATCATTTCATTTTGCACATGAGGAAGCTGAGGCCAGTGCAGTGGAGTAATTTGCTAGGTAGTGGAAAAGACAGAATTTGAATTGTGTCCCGTAACTCCAGGGGCCATGCCCCGCGTGATCGCTCGTGACTCTGTATGAAGGATTTCCGTTGCTGATCCTTCAAATTCATGTGACCTGGATACAGACAAGCAGTTTGCTTCTAAAACAACTATGAATATGAAAAACACAGGACAAGAAATGCATTATCTGAAATGGTTTTACGTATATCATTCTTTTAAAAGCAATGGCCAGCCAGGGTTGTCGGGTTATTTATGACGATTGCCCCATTCCTTTTCCCTTTACTATAGTTAAGAGCTACCGGAGAGAAGAATGCCTGCGTAATCTCTTTTGTATGGTTAGAGCTTAGGAACATCTCAGCAACTAAAGATAATACCAAATTCTCAAATTTGAGATGATGCTTTTCCTGAGATGCAGGGGGAAGGAAGGAAGGAAGAAAAAAGAGGTCAGTGAGAAGCAAGGGCAGTGAACAAGGAGATGAGGGGCTGGGAGACTGGGTGAGGTACGGGCTAGAGGAGACCAAGGGAGGATGACCCCTAAATCCCATTCTTGTCAGAGGAATTTCGGGATGAAGGGTATCTAAAAGACCAATTTTAAGATCGGAGCGATGCCACACCCTTCTAATATGAAATCCTAAATAAAATTTCTGTTGCTCGTAATGATCATACGTGGTTTTCTACGAACGTAGTATTTGTTCTGACTTTTCTAAAACCGGTAAAAGATGTGAGTTCACATTTCAGCCGACACAGTGAAACCCTGAGACAGCGCATGTGGAAGCAGAAGCACAAGCTGTGGGAATCGCGAGTTCAAGTCCCACTCAGATCAGGCAGGGCGTGAAACTCACTGAAGTTGTGTGACCTTCAGTGGACACGGTTGTCCCAGTTCCAAGAGATTATTAGTTTAAGTTGGTTAACGATTTTATTTTCAGTTATGATCAATTGTCAGACCGTGCATTTTCCCACGTGGCTTGAGGATGATGTAATTTCCCTCGCAAACCTCTTTCAATTGCCACGCCCTTCAGCTGTCTTCCCAGTGCACACACGTTCTGTTTTAGAGTTCTCATAACGTAACAGTAGAGATGTCATTAATTTACCAGTTACCAGCAGTTCGTACCTAGAGCTATCCTTGCTCTGATTATAAACGTGGTGTTTTACTCCCAGCCTTTTTCTGTGGTGCCAGTCAGACCCCCTGCTCTACTGTTAGCCATGCTAACGGTTCTCTAATGCTCTCGGTGGTTCTCGTCTTTAATTCCTCAGAGGTGCAAAGGATCACTTGCATGTCTCGGTTCTTTATCAGAAAGGGTCTCTCACAGATCCAGTCAGAACTACCGATGAGTCAAAATCTTCTCAGGCCCTTTAACATCTCTCCTCCTTCTGAGCCATGTATCCTCTCTGCAACTCAGCCCCGAGAAGGGAGTTCCAGGCAGCCTCATCTCTTTCTTTCACATATTCAGGACAGTGGTGGTCGAGAGGAAGAAGCTTTGTGTGGGGGCTTGGGGGCTAAGATTCGGGTTCTGGCTTCAGTTTATGCATCTATAAAATAGTGGCCTGAACACCTGTTCTGGTAAGGAGTAAACAGAATACTGTGGGGCAGCACATTGGAAATTATAAATGGTGGGCATTATTGCAAAAAAAATGATACAAATATTTCAGTGAAGACATTTTTCTGGATTGAACAGATACCTATCTCTTTCTCATCTTAAATCTTTTGCTGTTGGAAACTGGATAGTGGGGGGAATCTTAGCTCCTTGGCAAGTGAGTTGACCTGGGGTGCATTTCACCCTTCTTTGCCACTTGTGAGAAGACTCAGAATCTTTGCATTTTTACTGAGATGCTTGAAAAAAAGTGGATTTGCACAGTGATAAGTGATGATGGAGTTCTGAGAGCTGAAGCCTAGCAGAAGGTAACTGGCCTTTGTAGTGTTAACAACTACAGCAATTTTCCTTCTTCCTTATTCTCTGCATAAAATGTAGATAAAATGTGATTTTATTTAAATTAATATGAATAAATTTTGTGGAAAAACTGTATTGTTCTAGTTATAAGAATTTATTTGTAGGAAATTTATATCTCTTGAAATGGGATGTTAATAGCCATTGTTAATCATGGAAATATTAGCAAGTGATAGAATTGGTCTGATTTATATACCTGTACAATTCTTTGGAGTTCACAGAATTTTTAAAATTAAATTTTCTTTCCACATTTAGGAATCTTCTGACATCTTCAACTGCTCTGTGAAGTGCACTGTAATATTCTGTAAGTAATGTGATGTCCCACCTTTTTTTGGGAGACTATCTTGTTCTGCACTCGCCACATCCAGGTGTCCTCACGCTTTCCGCGTTTAGACATAGCGGGTGAGTGTCCCATGCTCGTAAGGTAAATGCACGGACAGCGCTCAGTTACTCATGGCGATGAAGCGGCCTAATAGGGAAGTTGTGGCCCGCGCAGGGTTAGCGACGAATCAGTTGCTTCTGTTTCTTTATGAAAGGTTTCTTGTCGGAGGCACAATTTCAAGGGTCGCTTCCACAGCCCATTTACACGTTTTCAAAGTCAAGTGAAAAGGTAGATGTAATTATCACGTGAATGAATACTCAATAGTTTTGTGTATGAATAGTGTACTTGTCATTATGCAAAGTGTCTAGAAACACTGGTCCTAACTAGTGAATTTGCAGTGGAGGAATAAGAGGGTTGAAGGCAGATGGCAGATGGCAGTAGGATGCCTTTGTGACTGAAGTAAAATTTTCTCTCTTTTCTACTTTTTCACTTTGTAGAGCTATGAAACAAGATTCCTTTTCTCCTAGCATAAAAAGGAAAATATTCAGACATATGGGTCACAAAGCTATTTATGCTCAAAATATTTCCTCAAAGCCATGATCAAAATCTCTCTGGCATTATGAGGCCCTGGAGGAGCTCAGAGCATGCCCTTCTGATTAGGGCCGTGTCCCGGGGGCCCTGCCACCCTCCCACCACCTGGCGGAAGTGCGGCCTTCGCACAGGGTGAGCGGCACTAGCTGGCCGCCGCTTCTTTACTAAGTCGAGTCAGTCACGTGTGGGCTGGCCACAGGGGGCTCGGGCGCGCAGAACACCGGCTGAGCGGAGTTTTCCACTAGCTGTTTGGTTTGGCCTGGTCCATGTGATGTCTTGCCAGAGCTGCAGTCTCCAGTCAGAAGTCCCTCATTCCCAGATGGGGGATATTCCTCATGCTGCTGCTTTGCTATAAACCTGGTGGGATGTCTGTTGGCCAGACCAAAGTATCAAGAAGCCAGATTTTCCCCTGTGATGAACGTGTCTGAGTGGATGGTAGTTGTTCTAGGGTTATGGTGTTGGCCAGATTTATCCACTGAAATAATGAGAAACTCATAAATGTAGCACAGAAAAGTCCTCCACTTATAATAATGGAGTCCGTGACGATTCCGGTTTGGCAGCCAAAGTAAAACATAATGTATGGTACAAGATGTTACCTTAGCAAGGGAATTTTGTGTTTAGGTCTGTAGCCTTGCAAAGTGGGCAGAATGTTCTTCTGTGAAGCCAGAACGGCACACGGGCACACAGGGCTGTGCCAAGGGTGTGGTGATCCTGGCCCAGACCTCCGCACGCGGCTCTCCTGTCTGCTCAACCCTCCCTCACATCTGTGAGGATGGAGTGGTTTTTATATTTTAGTCCTGGGTCCAGATCTCCCTTTTTTTTTTTTATGCACTCTGTGTATGGAAAGTGAAGTCAGTAGATATTTAAGTGTTATTTTACCTAATGTTGTACTGGGCATATATCTTATTATTGTGCAAAGTAAGCCCACAGGCCATATGTGTACAGCTTGAAATTTTCAGTGAACACACTCATATTTCTACAACCCATGTCAGGAAACAGAGCAATTATCACCCCAAGGTGCCCCTCCTCTTGTGCCCCTCACAGTCACTACCCACTCCCTCTCCATAAATAATCTCATTCAGACTTTTGAGCTTTATATAAATGGAATCCTACAGTATAATGAATCCTCTTTTGGGGGTCTGGTTTTGTTCAAGATTAAGTTTTGGGGATGCATCCATTTTATTGAAAATTACAGTAGTTTGTGATTTTTCATAGATTGCCTTCCATCGTATGTGTAAAGCAAAATTATTGATCTCTTCTATTCCGAACGGATATTTGTATTGTTCCCAGTTTTGATCTATTATAACTAATGCTACTGTGATCAAGTGTATATAATTTTTTAGAGAACATTTATGTGCATATTTCTGTTAGGCATTGAACTAAAGGTAGAATGGTTGGGTCATTGGATATGTGCTTTTCCGCTGTAGAAGATATTACTGAAAAGTTTTCCAAAATGGTTGTACTACTTCATGCTCCAATCAGCAATATATAAGAATTCCAATTCTCTTGGCCACAGACAGGTCTTACTGTTGTCAATCTTTCCCACTTCAGCCATTTGTAGTTGTGAGGTGGTAATGTTTCCCTGATGACTGACGTGGTTGTGCACTTTTCCATGTGTTTCATAGTCATTTGTACATGTGCCCATCACCTTGTCAAAGATTTTTTTAAAGTTTTCCATGGGTTTTCTTTTTCTTATTGAGTTATAGGTGTTCTTTGATTATTTGGAATCGAATCCTTTGTTGATTGTATCTCCTACCATTCCGTGTCTTTCTACTGTCATTAATTTTGTCTTTTGATTAAGAGGTGATTAGTGTTTTATTGGTGAGTGTGTGTGTGTGTGTGTGTGCACATCCTGTCTAAGAAATCTTTGTCTATTCCAAGGACATGAATATATTCTTTTATATTATTTTCTAGGACCTTTATCCTTTTATCTTTCATAATTATAACTAAAGTTCACCCAGATGATTTTTGAACATGAGGTAAGGTAAAAGATTATTTTTTCTCAAATGGAAACCAGTTGATTCAAAATCATATATTTGGATAGCTGAACTTGCCCTCACTGCCGTTTAGCATCATCTTGACATAGACCAAGTGTTTTTATGAGTGTCTCTGAACAATCTATCTGTTCTCTTCCATTGGCTTGTTTATCTTTTTGCCATTACTGATTTCTTTTAAGTGCTGTCACTTTACAATTTTATACTTTCCTATATTGTTCTCCAAATTTGTTCTTAATTTTTGGAGGGGGGAGTTATTCTTGTCCTTTCCATGTAAGTGTTAGAATCAGCTTGTCAATTTTCATGAAAACTTGCTGAGATTTTTGGGGTGTGGCATTCCATTTATGGATTAACATGGAGAGAACAGACATGTGTACAAAATTCCAATCCCTGAACATTAATTTTTCCTCTATTTATTCGATCTTCCTTAATGTCTCTTAAGAACATTTTTTTTCATTTTTCTATAAAGTCACATGTCTTTTGTTAGATTCATCCCTGGGTGTTTGGTATTGTTCGATGATTGTCATAGGCTGGGTCTTTCAGAAGCAGATGAGAAAACGTTTGGTGTGCAGGCTATTTCATTAGGGATCAGTACTTGTGGAAAGCAGGGATTGAAAGCAGCTCTGGGCAGAGAAAGAGGTCAAGCTGTGCGGCAAGTCTGACAAAACCTCCCCCAACCCCACAAGGCGCCGCTCATACCTTCGTTGGGTGAGAATGGTCAGACCCTCCCACTCCTGCAGCGAGCAGTCCCTGGGTGCGGGCTCCTCCAGGAAGTCGTGCTCTGGGTGACTGGCTCTTCACAGCTGAGACAGAACTTGAAGAAGCTGGAGCAATAAAGCCTTCTGTGGACCAGGATCGGGTGGTGCATCTCTTTGTCCATCTCGGTCTGCCCACTGCGGGGTGCCCGTCACTGACTACCTCTTACGCTGCTCAAATCCACTTCATGCCCATTCTGGCAACAGCTCTTCCAGGACTCTGCTGCGCCATCTTCCTGGGGAAGCAGCAGCGGAAGGTAGTAGGAAGCCCGATAGTCCCCGTTGCTGCAGGTGGTATTGGGTCACAATTGATACTCACTGCCCCTGCCTCCCACTGTCCCTCTAGATTTCCCTGGACCTCAGCACTACCTCGGCTCATCTGAATGACTTCCCCTGAGAGGTCTGAGCTCCTAATCTCTATGTGCCTTTTTTCTTCCTGACTGGTTTCTTTAGGGTAGATATTTCATCAGCAGCATCATTACGATCATCTGCTATGTTATAGTTACTGCATTAAGTGCTTTACACATATTGTATCTTTTAATATTCTCAACAATCAGACCTACCTGTGAGGTAGTGTTTATGTGTCCATATTAAAGCTGTGCTATACTGATGCACAAAGATTTAAGAAACTTACTGCAGATCTCAAAAGTGGTAGCAGAGTTGGGATTCAAATTCAACTCAAAATCTGTGCTTTTAATCACTATGCTGTATTAATTTTAGTCCTCTGCCCTCTTCTCCTAAAATTAATTAACATTGGTTAAGAAGAAAAGAGGTCAAGTCTCCCATTAGGGAGCATATATTTTTGCTTGAAATATGCTTATAAACCAGATTTATAAGCTTCAGACATGAAAACTTTTAGATCTTCAGTTCATACCCATGGATTTTTGGGCTTGAGCTTTGTGAAAATACACGCTACAGAAAATTTCTGCAAGTCCAGCAGAAATCAACTTTATGGGGACAGACTGGGTAGAAAAATTAATGGAGAGTATAAAGCCACTGCAGACTCCTCGGATTACTAGTGGATTTGAAAATGAACAGGTATTTGCATGAACAGTAGCTTGACTGCTTATTATACTTGGCTCTCTTCTCTGGTCACATTACATGATGGAACCCGCTGAATCAGAAATTGGGTCTCTATGGGGAGAAGTGGGTGACCACAATTCCCTACTAGTTACTACTTCTACAGGCTAGATACTCCAACATCCCCTGGAATCACTTTGGAAATCAACCAGAACTCAAGATTTCTTGTGGAAGTTTGCAGAATGCTTACCGACAGAGCAAATACTGCTGATCTATCTAAAGCTGTCCGAGACTTCTTATCCTGACTTTCAGATGACCTTCGGGATCGAAGTCCTTTGTCTTGCACAGTACTGCTCGCTGTTCTTACCTCGAACGTGCCTCCGTGACGCTCGCCTTTGCTCTTAGGAGCATTGCTATCTGAAATTCTACTGTCTGTACACCTCTGGGACCTGGTCTTCATCCATCGTGTCTCTTTCACATAGAAACTTAGATGTTGGTAATAGCTGCATTAATATTACCGAATGAAGAAAGGGCTTGATAAATCTGTTTCCCATTATTTAGGTTAGCACGAGCCCATTCCTTAGAATCTAGCTTCTTTGAAGTGAATTTGACTTCCGGACCG